AGAGCCTCCAGCACCCTCGGAATCACTTACTCTACTCGATCAATTCATGGTAGTTTCCCGCCGTTGATTTCTGCTGCTGTGATCGCTGACAATGAAGCACGCTGCGAAGAAGAAGAAGAAGAAGCGATCGCGTCCCCCTAAGGCCCCTTGCAACAGCGCGACAAATGACGAGCAGCGGGAGCAGCAGCAGCAGGAGCTACACCGACAGGAACAAGAACAACAAGAGCAAGGGAGAATCCTAGATTCCCTGGTGGAGGCTTTTGATTCCGTCTCTCTAGCAGAAGCGGCGTCTGCATACGAGCAAGCTGGTGGGTGTTTGGGCAGCTTCGAGATCCAATACTATAGATATCTTTGGCCGCTTCAACACACCTGAAATTTTTGAGAATGTTCCCTCGGGAAAATATTTCGACTCTCAAATTAGCAATATTCAATATTCTAAAGAGAGGTGCTCTCAAAGTGTAATTACAGAGAGAGAGAAGCGTAGTAGAGTTAATACCTTACATAGAGGTAATTGGCGGTATATATAGCCCCATATACTGATATGAGTTCAAACATGTATTCATCCAATTTGTTCATGTGTTACTGTCCACGTGAGTGTCTCTTCCTCTTGAGACTGTGAGCATATAACTGGGCCTGTTGTGTGTTGTCCAAAACGGGCGTTGAGCCTAATCTTAACATTACTCTCCCTCAGTATTCGATTGACGAACTGGGTTAAGAGTTTCAGTAGCACAGTGTTCGACCATAAGGATAAGGAGTGACATCTTATGATTTGCGATCGACCTCACGCATGGTCGAACTGGGCGATCTGACGCTAGTGCGGTCTGAGCTGATGTGTATGTATATACTGGTTTCCTACCGAGCATGCGTGGGCAAGCTGGTGTCAAAACTATTGCGTGAGTTCGATGCTAATTGGCGACCTTAGTCGGCGCGTAAAGGCGATCTCATATAATGGATTTCCTATTTCCAAATCAGATAGGTTTGAGACAAAGTAAAGTCTCTTGGCCAAGCGTGCGTCGTATATCAGCTTTGGCATTTTCTTCAGCGAAAGTTGCAGAGATGTCACAGCAAAAATTAACGGCTGTTGTGACGGTGACGGAAATGATATGGAGGACGAAGAGTGCGACGTGGAGGCCTGGGCTACGCTCAGCAAGGGGTTTAAGCAAGCAGGTGCCGGCCGTGCCCGATCGGAACCGGAAGCTGATGAATGAGAATCACCATTCACCACTCCAAAATCCTCGACCAATCTCTTGTCAACAATAATATCACATCTCCAACTCCAAGGTTCTAGGGATACATTCTGATACGTCGGTGAACTTCCTGGAGATTGTGCATCAACGGAGGAAGATGAGGAATTACTGTTCTTGAGCTAAATCATATTGACCAACCTTTTTTCATCGATGAATTATTCGAGTAATTTCAATGAACTCTCAGGTGTGAGTATTAGTTCCCACCCAGCCTCTCAAACTTTCCTTCCCTCTTCGTTTTATTATTAGGCAAGCATTATGATTTTTCGGCCATCTCAAACAACTCAAACAGAACATTTTCTTGGTAGAAAATAAAAACAGAAGGTAAATCCCCAGTACAGAAATGGGTCATTGTTGCTACCATGTTAAACGAACACTGTTTTCATTGTATCACTAATAATAGAAACGAGGACTGAAATTATAGCGGGAGTTCGCCACTGTCTACAATCACAACTTTGCTCTTGGGTGTGCCGCTTTGCTTACCTTCAGCTTCAATCTTGTATACCACATCCATTCCAGACAGCACCTTTCCAAACACAACATGTCTGCCATCCAACCTGTAGAAAGTTGTCTCTAATTAGCTTCAGAACTTGAAGCCAGTTATTTTATTTAACTTTTTCATACTTGTACAGGTTGAGGAAATTTAATTACCAGCTAGTTGTGACGGTGGTGATGAAGAATTGTGAACCGTTGGTGTCTGGACCAGCATTTGCCATTGACAAAAACCCTGTGACAGACAGAATTAATTTAATGACGAACATTCTAAGGTCAGCTTGCAGAAAGCATCAGTAGTCACTAAAGAATGAA